CCATTACAAATATTGGTTTATAATGCATTGCTTTAAATGCAGGAAATTGCAGTAATATTTGTTCTTAAATTTAGGTAAACAATTTTTGATCCTGAAATTCTTCAACTGCAGTTGTTGGAAAGACTACATTAATCTAAATTTGTAATGTGGGGGAGAGCATAGATATAAAAAAAAATTTACTTTTGATACAAAGTTAAGACATCACAGTCTAGTGGGTGATGGGGTGTGAAAGAAATGCATTAGAAGTGAGGTTAAACCAGCCATCTGAGCTTCTCCCCCCCACATTACAGGTTTCTTTTTGAGTGTTTATCTTTTAAAGTATGTTTTGACAGAGTACAGCAGTTATTTTGTGGCTGACTGGATTAGGATATTGTTTGTTTAAGGTTCAGAAGCCTAGTATTAGATTGCTCCTTGTCAGCAAAGTGCAGGATATACCACATGGTGTTTGCATGTGGAAACAATATGACCTGAGGCCCAGCAATGGAATTCAGATAAAAATGATACTGTTCTCTTTTTAATGTCTGGTAAGAGACATAAGGACTGTGACTATATTCTGAAGCTTTCGCATATGGCTTTGTGTTGCAGTTCAAGAAAATTTAATTTTCTCCAATTATAAACATTGATAATGGCTTCAAAGTATCACTATCTTATTTCTCAGTGATTTTTTTGCAGTCTTACAGTACAGAAAAATGTAGTATCAACTCTGAAACATTTAACACGAGTTGAAACTTTTGGGATCCCCTGCATGTTACACCTGATGACTGTAGTCCGTCTTCCTGAGACATTGTAAATAGGTGAACAAATTAGATTTCAAATTTTTTTTTAACTAAAGCCCTTATTGATCTCAACTATTTCCACAAAGGGGTATGGAAACTCTTATGCTTCCATACATAAATTTATTTCAGGCAGGTGGGAGGAACAGGCGATAGATTTGACCACCTAATATATGATACATATTCCACACTGAAACAGTCACTTCCTTCATAGCCACAGAGTCGTATCTGACAGCAGAGATTTGCCCAGCATCTGTTTTGCATACACTTCTCCTGCAATTTGTATCCACCAATGAATTCTTGTGGGGTTTTTAATTAAATTTCTGTTTTTCAAATACTTAAGGATTGCCTGCATCCAAATAGTTAAGGGTTGCCTGCCATGGGACTGCACACACAGACTTTTGAGAGGCTGAAGGATTCCCAGGGCAGTGGTCTCAGTGGTCTGTGTCAACGTTTAGGCAGTCCAGCCTGCCTCAGAGCAAATTATGCTTCAGTACCAGTCATTTATTAAAATGCACTAAAGATCTGAAGCTTCAGTGTAGGTTTTAAAGCCAAAGGGCTTTCCTTTTGAGAACAGAAGTGTAATCCTTTTCCAAAATGTTGCCAAACTAACTTAACTATTGCGCCTTCAAGAAAACACTGAATAACCGGATAGTTTTACACTTTAATTTTAGTAAGGAAATTGTAGGAAGCAGTGAGTATTTGAAAGAGCCTGATACAGCTTGCAGGGGTGTGTACATGCTCTCCCCCTTCCAAATGAGTTGCTGTTTAGGAATTGTAACTTCTAAATTCCCTTGCACTTAAATTCATGAAATTGTATCTATGCAGAAAATTGCCATTTTTCAATGATAATAGCTTCTCAAAGGACTTGTACACATCTTTTTCATGTAAAATCCTTCTACTCCATATAATTAAAAGTTGAAAAATCAGATTCTCCAGTTTCCAAATGGGTAGAAATGCACCAGAAGCTTGAACTGTGGACTAGGTAAAACTGTTATAAAAAATGCTATTACAATGTCTAAGTTGTCATACTTGGCTCTACCAGGCAGCTACAATTCACACTATTATTCCTCATGTATTCCACATATAGGATACACTAAATTTTATGCTGATTTTAATCATAACCATCGTATTCATTCCCGCATTCAAGAAATCACAGTGTAACTTTTAAACCATTGTGGGAGTTTTTAATACTGCTTTTGTGAATGGCTGCATTGTTTCTACAGTAACTAATTGCCCTTCAGAAGCAGAAAAGGTAGGAAAAGACTAAAACCTAAAATACAGACTTTTTCTCACTTGTTCTTTTGTATGTCTTTTAAATCTCTAAGAGCTCATTCTAGACTAAGGCAGGTATGTGTCCTTGTGAGAAAAGGCTGGATGTTGTGTTTTGTCATGTAGGTTCAGTTTTGTTTCTTGTTATATGGCTTGTCAAGCTGGTGACAGGTCACAAATAAGTGTTAGAATGTGGTGACTACCCCACTTGACCCATGTAAATGGACAGGATAGAATGGGACGGTTCAAAGACCTTGGTTAGATGGGAGGGAAGTCACGGTATAGAAAACTTCTGAGAACAAGTCCTGTAAAATAGTCTTTCAGATTGGAAAATCTCTGTTCTCCTTATCTGGGAGTGTCTATCTTATTGGTGAGCAGGAAAGGAGAACATAACAAATCTCAAGCCCAAATTAAAAGATGGTGAGGGATGCTTGGAAGACTTTAACCAGTTTTCCAGCTGTGACTTTTGAAGAACTCAACTTGAGAAGCCTGAAAACGATCCAGTTTGGAGAAACTGAGCAATTGGCACATTGAGCTTTAAAAATATAGGCCTCTGACAGACATGGGGGGGAAAAAAACCCAGCGCTTTACTTTCAGCTCAGTGCATCCCCGCACCGAGCATAGCATGTGCCCAGAAGAGGAACCGCCTTTCTTTGACTCAGTTTGCCCAGCATCTGTATAGATCATGCACTTCAGCAGGGTTTCTTGGTGCTTTTATCCAACAGCTGATTGAATGCACATGATCTATACAGACTCTGAGAAACCAGGTCAAACTGATGTGGTTCCTCTTCCAGTAACATGACATTATCTTGGGGCAAGGGGTTCCAGATCTGTCAGCAGCCTTAGACACTTATTGCCTCTTCCTTGGGCTTTGTCACTATTGAGTAATGTAGTCATCCCAAGTGTGCGGCACTGAAGGTTTTGTACCGGTCTACATGGACCTATGTACATAATACAAAAAATGGCATATCCCAGGGCTGCCCAACTGGTGTCCCACACCAAGGCATTAAGTTTTAGCTCTTGGGCTTCTGCCTGGCTGCCATTTTCCACCATTGCTGCAGCTACAACAGCAGCTAGAGCCTCCAAGCTCCCGCTTCCTCCTCCAGCTTTTGCTGCATGTCCCCACCATGGGGCAGGGCAGTGCAGAGTGGTGTGGCCCTGGAAGCTGAGGGTGAGCTTAGGGCTATGCAGGCACATGGTGTTGTAGTAGGTAGGGAGTGCAATGTAGTGGGGGTGGGGAAATTCGGCCTATGCAGTCATGCACAGTAGTCAGAGGGGGACATGGACGCATGGTGCAGTGGGTAGGATATGGGGGTTACATGTCAGGGGGAAGGATAGCATTGATGTGGCATGCAACCCAGGGGGCATGTGGCTCAGCTGAGTACAGTCCACCTGTGTGGTCCATGGTGTGATCATCCCCCAGCTGTTTAGAAGTTGGGCAGCCCTGGCTTATGCTATCATTCAATTATACAAATAGAAAATGAAAGAGGATCCAATTATGCAACTCTAGAGAAGACATACAAACTATGGATCATCTGGAGAATTGCTGCTAATGACCTCTGGAGGAGCTTGGGCTCACAAAAGCTTATGCTATATATCTCTGATGTAGCTGGTCTATAGGGTGCAAATGTACCCTGACTTCTGCCTGACTTCAAACTAATGCGGCTAACTACCTTTCTCTGGAGGAACAGTCTTGATTCATTCTAGACCTAGATCGGGCAACAAACTCAAATGCCAACCTTTTAATGTTGCTTTTTAGATTCACTGTACAGATAATGACAAATATCGCTCTTCATGCTTCAGGTTTTTTTATCTTGCATTTGTCCAGTTATATTTATTAAAGCTTTATGCTGTTGGACCAGAGTGCTTACTGAGCCTTTTGTACATTCTTAAATAATTCAAGTCCATAGATAACTATAGTCTCTGCTTGCAGGATGATACTAAACATTCATCATTTTCACCTGCATTTACTCACCAAGATTTGGTTTGTAGGATATTTTTGTGCTTCAGAGACCATAACTGCTTCCTTAGGTTGCCCAGCACTATAGAATTTGACACCTATGTTGTATTACATTAACGTTAGGCATAGGGGACCCTTTTAGCTTAACTAAACATTAGATTTTACCAATCCCTGTCTCAAGGTGTAAATACTGCACTACCCAATTGCCATGTACTGACTGTAATTCCTCCAAGAAGAGAAGGATTAGCTGAAAGAAACTGAAAGTAAGTTTAGAACCAGCCACAAACACAGTGTCTGGATTATGACATGCTGAGGTCCTAAACTATGTCCAGTTTAAGAGGCCCCATATGATAAAAATAATCCAATGTATGTATATTTTTGTCATATTAGAACAATGTGCTTTTTGTTTTGCTTGATTGGTTATTAAAGCCTTGTATACACTGCCACCCCACATTCTAGCATCCCAAGAATCTCATAATTAAATGAGCAGGTTGAGGGGGAGTCAGTGGTGTAGGAGGCAGGATGCTAACATGAGTGGTGGCAGTGACAAAGGCATGCTCTCAAAAGGCTTAATTAAGCAGTCAATCCTGTGACAGCTTTTCAAGACCTATTGAAGTTGATCATGTTGTTATCTGTATTGAAGTAGTAGTATCCTGCTAGGCACTGTACAGGAATTCAGCAGAAAGGCAGGGCCTGCCCTGAGCATCTTGCAATCCATGTATAATATTATTGATGCAACAGGTGTATAGAGGAGACATAGGGAACCCATGAACACAAAGGCAATGACAGGGAGGCAAAACTAGTCAGTCTGAAAAGCAGCTTGCAGCCCGCCAGCTACTGAAGCATAATAGAGGTATTAATGAAATCATTGCAGCAGAGAGGAGCTGTCAAAGCAAAAATTGAAGGAGGATTATGAAAAGGCTGAGCTGATGTTTCTATGAAACTCCTCACATGTACAAATAAGCGGTAGAGGTGCTTGTTGGAATTCAGCAAATCAGTTGACGCAGTGAGAAGAGTAGGGGTCTGAAGATGAAAATAACTAGGGCAGGTGACATAGTCTAAGTGTCAAGCCCAGTAAGTGATCTTTGCAGCAGCTTTCTGAATGAATGTGGAGGACAAAATGGGATTATCCAAGGCAGGAAAGAAAAGAACCTGTAGCAATGGTTGAGATGATCTAGTTGTGAATGGTAAGGACCTCAGAGATGTTATGCAGAGAAGTGTTTAGATGTAGCCAGTACTTGGAAACAAGGATGTAGAGAGAGGGCCAGTTTGGATGCGACTCCAGATTACGAGCTGTTGTGCTGAGGAGGTGGAGGATAGTGTCCCTGGTGACTGAGAAAGGAGAAAAACTGAGCTGGTAGGAAAATAATTTTAATAGATCTGGTTTGGTGGTCTAGCCAAAATTGGTAGTATATAAACTGGAAATGACAGCATATAAACTGATGGACATCTATTACTGGTTTAGCTTTAGGGGCAATGAATTCAGATGACCAGCTGTGTTCTTTTGCATTTTCCTGCAAGACAAAGCTGTTTTGCTGAATGATTTCATGAACACAATGAGGGTTTTTTGCTCAATGGGAGGCCTTGCTCCTTAAATGGTTACGAGTATACTGTGTTTAAGTTAAAAGCAGGACTAAGGCTGCAAATAGATGTCACCCTTGTGCTGCCATAAAAAAAATTATGGTGGTAGAAAACCGAAGCAAATAGATGTTCTTGTTCCTTATTGCTCCACAAATGACCAATACTGAGTAGGATGATTCTATAGTTTGTGCTGCATTTTCCAGCAGATATCCGTTTTACAGCACAGGCAGTCCAGGGCTGCCCACACTCTCCAGCCATCCTGGGCAGGTGCTCGCACGACTTCAGAGGCCCAGCACTGTGGACGAGTGGCCCCAGGTGCCTGGCCCTCCCTGGACAGGCTTCCTTGCTCTTTGATTGCAGACGCGCATCGCACACCCCAGGTCAGGACCAGGTACCCAGAGCTGTTTGTCCTTCACATGTTGCGTGGGGCCAGTGTTCCCCAGGATTGGGTTCCTGCCACTCTTGGGGTCCAATCCTGTCTGCCCATCCATCAGATCACCTGTGCCAGGACGACATCCTGACACAGCTGATCCTACCACAAAGCTGAAGTCTGCTTATAGCCTAAGGGAACTAACTTCCCATCTCCCACAATGGGGTTCAGAATGCCTTGGACTTCATCATCCTTTGCCCTACATTAAGGTTTTACTTTTTAGATGTATTGACATGCTGAAAAAATTCAATTTTAAAAAAAGTCTTAAAACACTTGCCTAGAGGTGTGAAATTTTTAATTAATGCAGTTGACTTCTAAAAATGTAAGCTTGAAAAAGCAGTGAAGTTTGTCCTTTTTTGCTTGGGGAATTGTGAATGTAAGTGCAGCCAGTTGAAAAAAAAACCCTAGAAAGGGACTTTTTTCTTTCTCTTTTTTTTTTTTTTGTTCTCCTTCCTGGACATTTGGTTCCCTGTCCTTTTAGAAAGAAACTGTATGCTATCCTGTCTCTGCCATGGGTCTTTTCCCATAAGGGTTTCTTACAATGTAACTTGTAGGATATTCTTAGAGGCTGCTCTGTTTTATGGAATGATGGATCTTTCATTCTGAAGAAAACTTTCAATGTTCTGTTGCCTTTTTTGAAAAAAAGTGTGGTTTTTCAATGCCTTTTCAATGCCTCACTTTGTTACTGTTTCAGAAACTGAATTTATGTAATTACTTTGAGAGAGAATTCTTCTTTTAATAGCCACATGTGTAATGCTTGTAAACTCTCCATTTAATTGACTTCAAAACTTCTAAATTGTAAAACATTTAAATTGTAAAACCTGGGTTTTTTTTTCCTACATTCCCTTCAGGGAAAACATGAAAATGGACTACTCTATTCATTCCACACCTGTAACTTTCTCAAGAATATAGCAGTTGAGAGTGTCATTTTCTTGTGTTTCCCCAACTTCCAGAATGAGGATGAGTTTGACACTTTCACATATATATTGGTGTTCATCTTGGAATTAGAGGATAGAAACATTTATTTTTACCTGTGACCTTTTTTTCCAGATGGCTCTGTTCATCTTTGTTTGGAGCCAAATCATAGTTTGCCTTTATATGCCCTAAGTGATATTTTGGTAGCAGGATAACTTCAGTTTATGTTATTTATGTTCTGTTTTGAATCCTCTCTCATTCTGTGGTGGAACAGAGAAAATACATTCTGTACATGTAACAGGGAAAATAAAATGAAGGAGGAAAGAGAGGTCTGGCTCACTGGGCAGCAAAGAGGAGGTAGATATATCAAATCAAAAAGAGAAAAGCAAGCCAAGTGGAGGGTAGCTTGTTGAGATGGATTTTGTCCTGAAAGAGAGGAAGAACCTATGCCTGGTCCTGTCCTTAGTTGAGCTTAAACCAACCCACTACTGTTTATCCATTTTATCTAAGGAACATTGAATGCAAAATAAAGTGCACTAACTTCAAGGACTTGAATGTCCTTTAGTCAATGCTGAGTATACTGCCTGGTCTGTACGTGCTAGGAAAGGAGTGCCTGAACACGTGTTTCCCATGATCTCAGCAAGTGCCCTAGGCACGAAACTATTGAACTAAAAAATAGGAGGGCTGCCCTTCTGCTGGCATCAAGCACCCTCTAGTTGTGGGGGGGAGGTGGGGGAAGTTGTTTGTTTTCTGTTTTGTTTGCTTGGGGTGGGGGTTCCCTCTAACTGAAGTTTTGGGACTTACTATTCTACCCAGGCATCTACGCAGCTATAGTGTAGCCTGCTGAACTATATAAACATGCTCAGTAAGGAAACTCAGGACAAAGCGTAGTTATAGGGGTTCTAAACTTCATGTAAGTGCCAAAAACAAAGCTTCCTGGCTATGTATGTACTATTTAGGCACACAAAGATAAAATAGGACTCAGCCATTTGTCTCAAAAAAGCTTTGTGGAAGCTATCAAATTGGTGGGTACTCCATATATTTTTAAGTGAAAGATAAAGAATAGACTTAGCTTTACAGAAAGGAGGATTGAACTACCTCTTGATGAAATGAAGCAGGTTATTTCAATAGTGTTTTGGTGCTAAATACAATTGTGGACAGATATCATCAATCAAATTCTTCTTAAACATTTTCTGGCAACATGTACATGGGATGTGAATAAACTGACATTCTCTTCCTTGTCTAATGCTTTGAGATGTCAACATTTTTTTTAAGACCTGCTTTGGTACAACAGTGGGAAAGAAATGCCCTGTCAGGTAAGGATGTTTGGAGGGAGCCATCCAGGATATATTTGTGGCATTATGGGAATTTTGTGCATTTTATAATTAGTTGTCTTTAAATCTTTGATCTGCAATAGAATTATTCCCTTAGACTTCTGCTTTTTAAATACAAAACCATTGTTTTCTAGAATTGTATAAATATGATGCCTAGGCATAAGCCCCTATACTTTCAATTGTTATTTTTCAGTGGGTATACATTTACTGCAAGGGCTTTCCTTGGTTTCATCACAATGTTTGCCAAAAAGAAAGTGAGATTTTTAGAAGAGTTAGACTGAGTAAGGACAAACATAGGGGGCTCAGGAGGCCACAATAATATGTTTAATTTATCTCTTGACTTGATTCATAGTTCATGCTGAGTTTAATGTTTGGTGTGTGTGAATAGCAGGCTGCTTGTATACTTAGTGCTAGAAGAAGGCATCAGGGTGATGCTTCTAAAGAGTGACGTCTGCCCAAAGAACAGGTGCACCCCAGGTAGCACCAGCCTGACCTACATCTGCATGATTGCCAGATACCAGATGAGTTTTGTTTACTTTCCATGATTATTCAGTCTTAATCTCTACTAAAATGTCCAGTTAAAACCAGTCTTGCTGATAGATTTGTGGTTCTAGCATGTGAAATAGGGACAGAGGTTACCAATTTGCTTCATATAAAATAATGGAACCCCCTTCATTGGTAAGTTGGTAAGGTAGACCAACTACCAGACTCTGCCAGGTTCGAAACAGGACCTTGGAGGGAAAGTCTTCAAGTTCTGTTTGTTAGCAGTTCCAGCTGAATTCAATACACATAAAACAGCTTCCACACCACACACAAAAAATAAATATCAAGATCAGTTTAATGAGTTCAATTTAAAGAATTGCAAGCAATATACAGGATATTTGAGATTTGGTACAGTTGATGGAAAAATATATCCCTAGGACTTAACTGCCAGGTCTGCAAATAATGTCACTGATGTTAATTACCCCCTAGTCTAGATTTAATGAAGGAAGAACCGTATCTCCAAAATATTTTGTGTTAAATTAAATGGGGGCATGCAGGTGTAAAATGCATGTAAAAAGGAACATTATGCTCAGGATCCATTCCAAACAGGGGTAAAATAAAAGGGAATTTAATAGGCCATCTGTTTAATTAGCAAACCTTCTGTTTTGAGTCTTTGTTCATTTTTTGAGGCTTCCAGGGCACTGTGAAATGAATCAAGGTGTGCTAAACCTGATTGCATCTTGATTTGTGCTTCTGAAGCAGTGCAGCATGGACTGAGTGAAATGTCTATGAAGGGACTAGCTCTAAAACTATTGACCAAATGCAACAGCAGTGCGTTAGAGCATGTTTCTGCCTAGGCAGATGGACTTTAAGGCTAAGTACAGATGGCCAGAAAGCCCAAGGCTGAACTGATTCAGTCTTTGCAGGTTAGTCTAATCTGCAGAGATTGAATTGATAAACAAATGAACACACATTCCCTTTTTAATTCAGGAAATGCAGCCACATGCCTGCAGTAGCTCAAGCCAGAAGCCAAGGGGCGCTAGAGCCTGCCTGCCAGCCACTGCCAAAAAGGAGGGAAGAGGGAAAGCCCTCCAAGACTTTTCCTCCCATCCTGCTGGAGCAGAGGGGGTGTGGCCAGACACCACCCTGTGCTCTGCCTGGGTGGCAGGGGGGTAGTGGCATTGAATTCATAAAAACTTGAACAAAAATAGTTCTATCTCTGAAAAACTATAAACTGAAGAACTATAAACACAGCATACAGCCCTCCTACCCCTGACATCTCTAGGATTTGCAGTCTGAATCATAGCAGCAGGATTGTAGGGTTGATCATC